ATCCCATCCTAATGCATCCATGGGAGTGACTAAAACAGGTATCATCCAGGAGAGAACAATTCAATTTCAACCTCTCTTGTTAGTGTGTATGCATTTATGTGTTTATAGACATGTAGGTGTATGCAGATGTTATTAAAAAGATATAAGGAACTGTTAGCAGCACTGCTGTTTAAGTCAGCATGATGCAGGATTAGCAGAGCAGATGTAACTCAGCAATTTGTTATACCTCATCTGCAAAATCAGGTATGCACTACTCAGTCATTTATAATTCATGTTTGGATCAGATTGTTGTCCAGCTCTCAGTTACAAAGTACTATGCTTCTGCTATTCTTTTTTCCATTTTAGAATGGTTATTATTTTGAAGAATAAGCATGAACTCTTATCTTTAAAATGGAGCGCTATATCCCAAAAGGCTTTCAAGCAAACACAGCAAGGACCAGGAAACCAGCTGAAGGTGCACTTTAAGTCATCTTTGAAGCAATAAACAGGAGAATTATATAATATATAAACATTCTTAGAATGGATAAGCAATTTCTGTTTTTGTATTTGGTATAATTAGGACAGTACATTATATTAGTGAAGTCATTATTAGGATTCTGCATTTGGTCCTTGAATCAACACCTTAAAAGAACATTTAAGACCAAATGAAAAGTTTCTATTTAATCACAGTTGTCAAACTTGCATCAGGCAGGACCTAAAGAACTTTAACCTACTGGGTTATTCAAAAGAAAGCTGAGATGAAACTGTATACTCCACAAATACCAGCAGACAATAACAGGTTTCATACTATCTGCAGTGGTTTTGGGTGGGATTCATACAGCCTATTGTTTAAAAAGTCTGTAGTGTAAACATTAATCTGTGATCTCTCCATTTGCTTAAGTGACTAAGCATTTTTAATAATGCAACTATCAACAAATGGAATATCTTACTGAGACATCTTTAAAAAAAAACCACATGCATTTCAAATTAATGTCTTTATCAAGGAAAGGTTCTGTGGTCTGCAACTATCTAGTAATTGCTTTTGGGTCTTAAAATCTACAAGTAACAACTGCTTTGCATAATTATTGGAAGGTCCAGTAAGCACTATTTTGCAGACTTTGTCTCTTTACAATGAAAAACACACACTGTTCTTGATGCAAAGTGAAAAGTCACATATCAAAGATGTCAGAGTCCTGCAAGGCCATTTGGCACACTATTTTCATCCATATGAATCACTTTTTATTTACTTGGGAAAACTGGCAGCACATAAAAGTGCATTAATGTCTTGCCTTGATTCAAATAGATTTCACCATACCCGTGATCTAAGTGCCTGACACAGATGCTTCCTTCCTCAAGAACAGGAGGTGGTGTTTGACCCTAGCATCAGTTCCAGAGGTTGGTTAGACAAATACCTGGGTAATCTTCCTCCTACCGGCTCAGCCTAGGGAGTGCAGTGTTGACACATGAACAAAGGAAATGTTTTGAGCGTCTGCAAATATTCTGCTCCTAATCTGCAATAAATGATGTTGTTCATGCAAACAGTGCTTCTTCTGAGCAAAATTTAGTTTAATTTCCTTTTGCAAATGAAGGGCTTGTGGTTATTTTGGGAACTCGTATACCATCTCTGTTACATCAGTAACTGTGTTTCCTCCAAGGCTACTGGCTTTTGTGATCCACTCTAGCAAAGACTTTTCAGGACACCCCCAGGTATAAGTACCTATGCCTGACACTCAGCATTTGCTGTTGGTCAGCAATGGTTGTACTCACTGCTTTGCAAGAGCTACATCTGTGCTTCCATACTGTCCTGCCAAAGTCAAAGGACTTTGCTGCCAGTGGCAGTAGCACTTGGGAGGTGCCTTTCAGTAACATACCAGTCACATTTTAACCCCAAGCAGGGTGGAAATAGGCATGTTAAGAAACTACAGCAGTAACTACACTGAAGTATGCATGTATTAAATACAAACTTTTAAAAAATTAAATGTTGAAAGCACACGGTCCTGCCTATTTCACAAGAAAATCAGTCAAAGACACAAATTTCAACAAATACCAACAAATTTCAACAAATACAGGCAATCTTAGCTGGACATACTTCATATTTTCACAGTCCCTAGTGTGTCAAACACCCAAGTAAATTATAATCTTAAACAAAATTTTCTCAACAGAAAAATGGCAAGATAAATTACCTGGCCTGTTGTAATGTATCAGTGTATCAATCAATAACTCAATTTCTGCAAATCTGCAGGAGTTTTGTAAGATACTGCTGTGCACAGTGCTATTGAAAAAAAAAAATCTGTCGGTTTTCTTCTAAACACAAAAATCTCAAAAGCACAATTAAATGCATTGTTGGGAAAACTGGTGCATATCCGAAACAGCACACTGGTGAAGATCTTTTATCAAGAACACACTGCTAGACATTTACATTTCTGCCAGTCTGCTCCACAAGAGGAATAGACCTCTCCAACAGTACAAGGATTAAGAATGTGGAGCAGCAGAAGCTGAGGCAGCTGAGTAATTCATCTCTCTTGAGAGTAATGATTGCACTCTGTACTGGCTGGCACAAACTCTTGAACAACAATCTACTATGTGGAAAACAGATTGGCCTTTATACTTTGCTTAGGCCTTTACCAAGAGCATCTTATAACACTTCAATAATTTGAAAATAATGCCTCCAATATAAAAGGCAGATGCATAGTTCTAGAAATTAACATATAATAAGCAAAATCTAGCCTTTGAAGGCATATCCAGGGAAAGGCTTACTGGATCTGTTTCTGGTCACTTAAAAATATCCAAAAGGAATTCAGCAAGACTGTTGACAAGTATGTAGTCTGAAGTAACAGTTATAACCAGACAGAAATCTTTCATGCTTAGAGGCATTGCAATGAGGAAGAGACTCCACTGCTTCAAAGAAATACAATTATATATGAAAAACACTAGTTTTGAATGTCTGGATATTTAATTAGCTCATAGCATACCTCAAAGAGATTTCTAGATGAGATGCTACAGCTTATGCAATAATTAACACACCAGCATTACCTCTGCTGAATACCTGAAGAATTATATACTTGCCTCTCAACCCTCTCTTCAAATACATGAGAGCCATCGTGCTTGGTCTTATCATAGAACCACGTCTTTGAGCCAGACACCAAGAGAGGGACACAACAGGCACTTTGTGCCACTTTCCTGCAGCCTTGGCCTCAGTGCTGAGTTCTGCCAGAGAGTGCTCCTCTGTGGCAGCACAGCATGGCTCAGCATCCTTCCCAGACCTGAACAAAACATGAATGACTGGCAGATCCTACAAACACTGGCTAATCCCATAAGGTCAGGGAGGCTGCAGTGTTGCATTCCAGCTGCACTGCCCTACCCCCAGCCTCTGTCATTTTACATGACAGGCACTGTCTAAAGATGGTGATCAGAGCTGTATGCTTAGCACATGACCTGCTCCCTCTCTGCATTCCAGGAGCTCAGGAGAGAGCTGTGCAGGACACCAGTGGCTCACTCCCAGCTGCTTCTTTCCCTGGGGAAAAGCACTGAATTACATTACACCTGACCTGCATCTCAGTGCAGCTGCACAGATCCGCAGCACTACCTGATGAGCTCGCAGACAGGTGCCCTCTCTCAGCAGAGATTAAGCAATGCTATCTGCCACTACAGGGAAGTGCACACTCCTGCACTTACACCTTCCACACCTCTGTAAGGATCTTTGTTCTTCATTTTCCCAGGCAAAGAATAAAAGAAATATTCATTTTTACTGATGACATAAATTAGAAACAGCAGGAGATTGTGGCCATTTTGGATGAAGACAAAAAGCATCAGATATATCCAGCTGCTCCTGGGATCATGAGCTCATTTATACAGTCAAAAAAGAAACAGTTCTTTAATAAGAGAGCAACAGCATGTGCCATGCCAGTTATGGGCTCATTGGTAAGGAAAGTATAACATGTACTTGGAAAATTGAGTGTGAGGAACAATGCAACAAGGGTGATAAACTCTTTCTCAAACAGAAAAGGAGTGTGTGAACAATTTCATGGATCTCATCTCAAATAGGGAACAGGTTTCAGGAATGAAAGATCTCTCTCATAAATACCTGTCCCACAGAAAAAATTATGCCCTTGTAAGCACAGAAGGCAGAAGCCCTATAACATCTACTTGCAGAAGTGTGCATGTGCTGCAAGTTTGAGAAATGATAATGGCTCCAACAGATCTGGCTGATAAGAAGCTTCACTTTTATGTGAATAGTACTAAAAGCCTAAGCACAGCTGTGTAAGGATGGGAACTAATACAGTGAGGCATGATATCACACTCATAATCCAAATAGAAAAGCATTGCCAAATTTCCAGAACTCTGATCAGACAACTGGAATCACAAATAACTATTAATAAGCTGCACTTACGTCTTCGTTGGTGAAGAAACCAGTTTTATAAAACATAAATAAAAGCAACTTAACAGATGAGTTAGCTCTCTCCAGAAATTATATCATAAATCAAGGTCCAAAGACTGAAATAATTCCTAAAATGTATACCATTTCATTAGCATTGAACAGTCATGTCATACTACATAATACATATATTAATGAACCAGCATATACTCCATATACTATCATATATACAAGAAGTCATGTCTTAGTTCTTTGGAAATGGACAAAAGATCCAGAGAAATATTTGACTCTGTAAGAATGAATTAAACAGTAAAATAGGATTTTTGGGCTATTTGTCAGACAGGTTAGCTAAGGATGACTAAAAACTTAAGTCTGATCTACACTATCTTCTTGTTAAGTTACACTTAACTGAAGCAGTATATGAAACAAATGCAAGGAGGAATTTCACATAAATACCCCAAACCCCAAACAATGAATTTGAAGAATTACTGTCATTTGCTTATATTACACAGATCCCTTGGGTCCAGTCCTACAGAAACATTCAACAAAACAGCGTGTCAATATATCAGTCAAAGATACCAAGGTTCAGCCTCTGAGATTACTTTAAAATGGTGTGTAAGAGCTGAAAAAAATAAAAGTCACCAACCTCTAATAAGGTAGACTGTTTCACTGCAGATCCAGAACCAGTATCTAGAAATAAATAAAAACAGGGTTCACTTGTTTGCTCAATCCTCAGTTTTCCAGTTACCAGTTGTCAGAATTTGTTATGCATATTTTCATGACATTGTCATACAATCAGCTTCTCTCAAATGTTTCCAGCATTTATAAATATGTGGGTTTCCAGTTAGTCACTTTTTTGTATAAAAATAGGACATACCCATAACATTCTACTAAAATTAGAAGCACAGAAAACCTGTGTGGTTTTATTTTTCCTGATTACTTCACAACAAGCTATTACAGGCTTCCTTTACAAATTGGCTTTGGTGAAGATTTAGCTACTTTTTCAAGTTATTAACCCCTGATCAGAAACACTTGATCCTAGAGCTCTCTCCTCAAGTAAATTACACTGAGATGCCTGCTCAGACACATACTATCACAAAACTCCTGCTTCCTCTAACACAGTTCTTCCCTCTGTGGTATCTCTTCTGAACCCTCCTTATATTTGTCTCCATCCATCAAATTTTGGCATGCCCTTCCAGAAAAAAAAAAAAAAAAGTATACAACTTTGGGTATGACTTCTTTGTCCCAGCTCTTTTCTGATTCACAGCTGTAGATGCTGTCAAGCTACCTCCCAATCTCAATTGCCTCCCTGAGGAGTTTGGGAGTAACATCCAAGATACATCTTGATCAGTGGATCAAGGTAGGATCTACATTACAGTGGTACTACTTACAACTTTCAAATGCTTCAAAGATCTACAGCAACACCAACCATTGCATAATACAGAGAACTCACTTCAGAAGTTTGCTACATAAAAGAAAAAGATTTTCAGCTCACTCCAGTCTGTAGTTCATTCATATTATTAAAATAGAATTTTTAATTTGTGTTCATAGCCAAGAGCTCAAGGATTTAAGTATGTGATATATGGAACTATTTTACATATATAAAGTCCAGTTGCTACTTCTATGAGTGCCATAAGAATCCAAGCACTCGGGCTCCAAAGCTGTATTACTCTGTAGGTAGCTTGGTCAAGTGTGCTTGGTACTCTGTTTCTCTTGTACTCTGATTTACTGTACTACTTTTCACTGTGCTGAGAGAAGATGATGACTGTACTTTCAGGCTCATCCCTTCTCCCTTTTTATAGGTCAGTAAGTGTATATGTTAAGACACCTAGGCTTAAATCTTCTGACCTGGATAGAATATCACAGTATTTCCCCATCTATAAAATGTTTATTATTTCTACCTCCTTGTAAACTACTACTGAGAATATGTGGATAAAACTAATTTTAGTAATTTTAACTATGCTTATGGAGCCACAGACAAAAAGACTCACTTTGCCATGCCTAAGTTTTATTCTCCATTCACTTCCTTGCTGAGTACGTGTTTGAATGGTCAGAAGTCTTTTGTAATTCTGAAAACTGGTTTTCAAGAAGGACACTTATCTTGAGTAACAAATTCTTGGAGTAACAAGTTCTTGAGTAAACTATCAGAATATATTTTGTCATTCTTTCAGCTGTAAATAGAAAGGTTTACATGCTTGCTTGAAAATTGATTAGCTGGGTTGGAAAATAAATTAAAACAAAAAATCTAGCATCAAGGTTCTAAATGGTTTTCTGAAATGGCAAGCATCTTAAGAATTCCAATTTCTTATGAGAGTTCTCCAGGCTAATCACATTTTCCTAAAGCAAAGGCATGAGAACTATTTACTACCATATTCAGTGAAACTCCTTAACACTACTAAACAATAGTCTTTCTATAGTTTTCTTTCTTTATTGTACACCAAACTTGGCACTTGTTGTTAAAAGATTTACATTTATTTCAACTAAAGCTTATGACTGCTGTGTAATGTAAGAAGAAAAAAAAATGGTTAAAGAAATCAGCTCCCCTGCCCACATACCAAGGCACAGCAAGGAAAGGAGATGCTCCAGCAAAATTCACTCCTGGTGACTAAATAAGCATCACAGACAACTCTGGAAGCCATCAAACCATATTCCTCTTTCATATTTGAGGAACAGCACTGTACTCAAAGTATTTCTATCTACTGGTACCTGAATTGAGCCACTGAGTTAGCTGGGAAAGCAATCATATTCATTTTACAAGGATTCACACTATTGCATCAGGTATCATGAAAATAGGATTTGATAATTTTAGCTCATAACATAATGAAGAAAGGCAGAATACTTTTTTTTTTCAGTTTTACCACACTTTTCCCATTCACAGTGGGCTGTAAACTATAATTAAGTGATTTGCATGAATCACTGTCCATGAAAATTTGTAGAAATACACACAGAATTTTAGAAAATCTTTACTTCTTCATCCTTAATCACACTGTTAAGCCAGAGAGCAGTGATGGATAAAGATTACTGTTGAACTCAGTAAATGCCAAAGCAATCATAAAGAGACCTTGAAAACACCACTTTCAGACTTTGCTAATCAGAAGAACCCATCAGCTCAGCACCAGGCACTGGCTGTGCACAGCAATGGTAAAAAAAGACCATTATAAGTTAACCTCCACTCAGAGAAAAGCCCTTTTGTAGTACTTGTCACATATATGAATACATTGTGGATGACACTATAGGAGGAGTATGTCATGCAAAAGATCACCCATGGACAAGAAACACAGGGAAAGTAAGAACTTTACCAAGCTCAAAGACGATTACTTGGTTTACATGAGAAAGATACTTGTATCTACATGACCTACTTAGGAATGGCTTCTGGCTGGGAATACAGTATACAGACCCTGCATTAATAAAAAATATGCATTGTTTTTTGCACATGTCAGGAGCTTAGATATTCCAAGTTTCAAAGATACACAAAGTTGCTGCCTTCCTAGAGATATTAAGGTTCAACTGAAAAAATCAATAAGCTAGTTTGTTACACTAAAAAAAAAATCTTGGTACAATCCATTGGACAAAGCATTTCTAAAGGTATAAACTGCATTAAAATTTCAGTTCTGACTCAAAACAGTAAGAATTTCAGACACTTCTCTAGTAGCTTTAGTCAAACTGCTAGCAATAATTTCCCACCCTTCCATAAAGCCCTCCTCTGCATTTCCACCTAATCACTTGAAGTATCTTTTCTCTCCATCCCACACATATGGCCTTTCCTACAGAGCCTTCATACACACACAAAAAAAAAACCAACAAAACAACAAAAATCTTGAAAACTGTAAAAAAGATTATGTAGCTTAGCTCTTTCTGGAACTATTGTATACCTTCAATGCTGTTCACCTGCTTTTCACAGCTGTAGCCCATTGGGGATGAGGCTTGGCCAGAGCCCCACTCCCAATTACCACAAACTGTGTGTCTACAAAGTGCAAGTAAGGCAACTGTGCTAGAAAATGTGTGAAAATATCTCTCAGTTGATTTATGAGAAGGCAGTAAGGGTCCCCCACCATTAGCGTGCCACTTGTCTTTGCACCAGTGTGATTCACCGTAACCTCACTCATCTGCCCCTCCAGTTGTCCTTGAGAAGTGCTGGCACCCCAGGCTGCAGGCTCGAAGGATGCTGAAAGGGTGAGTGTACACCAGAGAATGGAACACATACTAAAAAATCTGTATGTTAACTGCATCGATAACTGTAAGGAGCTGGGCTGAAATAACAGCTGTATTTTGATTAGAAAGTTAAGACTATAGCTAAAGATAAACCGTAGCTCCTCACATCACTCAGCATTCCTCTGTCCCTGTAACAGAGGAACAGTCCCTTGCAGTCCCAGGCTGAGCACCAGAGTCCTGCCTGCCTTCAGCAGAGCTGCTGCCAAAGGCATCAAAAAACACGCTTCCAGCTGCCACCATCAAGTTACAATGAGATTAAGCAATTTTTAAAATTGCTGTGGTTAATCACGGGCAACATCTCATCATCTTCTACAGGCTGCAGGCTGTTCCATTAGCTATTTAGGTCTGCAAACAGGGGCAACTAGGTCTGTGAGCAGTGGAGATCCAAGGTCTCACCCTTCTACAGATGACCTCATTGCAAACCCAGGCTATAAACAAGTCAACTCGACACTATAAACAGAACAACTGTCAGTGTGCTAAGAGCCTCTGCAATGCTTGATCCCTGTTTATTCTGATTTTAACTTAGGGCCGAAGCTTAAGTCACTGCTTTCACAAGGAATTAAAATTGAGTATTGTAAGTTCATTCATACTGGAGGTGTATCACAAAGCAAAGAGACAGATGTGGCTTCTGCCTGGGAAATTACAAAGGCTCTTATCCTCAAAAATTTACATATCCGGAACTTGATTCACATAAGTAATCATGCAGGACCAGGACCTTATTTAATCTTTCCTAAGAAACTGAGCCTATACAAACAGCACATGGATCTGCCTCCACTTTCAACAGCAAATCATTCATTTTATATTGTCATTCTACCAGTAATTTAGCTGTAGTGTTGCTAAGAGGATTTCCAACATATTAAAGTATTATTGAAATAATATAACTATTTGCATTTGAAGAGTATATTGTCTATCCCAAACAATATGGCAGGAGATCCCCTCCATGTATTAAGAAATCTCTAACTAATCACTTTAAGGTAATGATGTTACCCATTGGAGAATATGAAATTCTGTTCAAAACCTCCTTCATAAGCCATTCTTTATGCAAGACAGAAATGGCTTCCAGCAAAGCCAAAAAGATCTGCCTGTGACAAGCTAAGTGTAAGTATGAATTTCTGTTGCTATAAATACAAAATGAGGTTTAAAAAAAAAAAAAAAAAACCAAAAAAAAAACCAAAAAAAAACCAAAAAAAACCAAAAAAACAAAAAACCAAAGGTACTTGCTGAATGACAATGACACAAAGTTTCTTCCTTTTGATTAACTACCCTTTGTTCTAGAGAACCTTCAAGCTTGTTTTGTTAGTATTGTTCCAGAAACCATGTGATAACATAAACTTTAGTTATTTAAGTTACCATCCTACCACATACTAAAGTACTAGAAAACATTACAAATCTCTTTGTAACATCCTCTGGATGTGAGATGTAGTATTCCAAATGTCTCAGATGGAAACAAGTTAGAATCACTCTAAACTGCAAGCCTC